GAGCTGGAAGCTGAGAACTGGCGACTTTGTAGTACAACTTCAGTACGAGGAGCAATCTGTGGAGCTGGAAGCTGAGAACTGGCGACTTTGTAGTACAACTTTCGTACATTATGCCCCATATTGCGGACGTGCGACAACCGCTGGTGTTGTTGGCTAGTTGTGGCTGCGCACACCTGTGTGCACAATACCTCGTACATCCGTCGTGCACATCACTCTCTTACACCTTCTCTCCCACCCCTCTGTTGTCGGAAGCTGATATCACTTCCTGACAAGGCCGTGTTGTGGAAGCTATTGAGACTCTGACTGCTTTGTGCTTTAGAAACTTAAGATTCGTAAAGATTCATACGTGGGGCTATCCGGTCCTTTAATTGTTGCAGTGCCTCTTTGACAAATATTGTGTTCCCTTTCTTCCTCCGGAAGTGCTGGTTTCTATCGCAGACTGTCCAGTCCGCTTGTGTTTTTGTGTTACTTGTTTCTCATTTTTTTTGTATTGTGTTTGTATTTTCTTTGTATATTGTATTGTGTTTCAACCAAATCTTACAGTAACTTTTTGAGATGTTGCTTCTTAGGCAGCTCACAAGTTTAGTGAAGCAATATGAAGAAATCACTTCCCTGGTGACACATGGTGACCCACTCACTGGGCGGGAATCATTTCCGACCCCAAAAGCCAAAAGCAGAACCTCGGCGGAGTCCGCCGAGGTCCAAGCCACGTCCGGAACTTCGGCGTCCGCGTCCCGGTCGGTTTGAAAAGAGCCTTCGCCGCGCGCCAGAGCACAAGGACAAGGCCTGTGTCCATTGAGCCGCCTTCTCACAGGCAGCGAGTTGAGAATTGCACCCCAGCACCTGAGGCGGAATCCGTGGAAGCCCTCTATTTGATAAAGGTGGGGAGAGGGTAGCGGGTAGCGCATGGAGAGGAAAGATCGAAATTCCCGAAAGGATCAGCTCGGAATCGGAGGGTTGATTTTTGTGTTCGCAACTCCGGTGCAAAGTTGACGTTCTCACGGACCGCAGCGATCACTGAGGCCTCCACATGCGAGTGTTCATGATCATGCTCTAAGATCTTTTGCCAGTGGCCTGCTTTTTCACAGGCGGAGGTGGCAGCTCCGAAGGTGACACTGCTTGCGGGCAGCCTCACCAACCAGCTACAGCCAAGAGGCTGAGAGGCCAACGTCATGCGTCGCACGATCATGCTTCTAAACACATTCCGAGACTACCATCCATCAATAGCACAAGCTCAATATATGTGTCGGCCTTCTATGTCTGCCTCATACATACACCTCGACCAAACACACAAACACGAAAGGGCCGCATGGACAGATCACCCCGAACGTACCGCTGCGGCTGAGGATCTTCAGGTCCTCTACCTGGAGCAACAACTTGATCGCTTCCTGCCACGCCGGACTGGCGCACACTGAGATGGCTGCACCTGACCGACCCAGAAAGAAGCAAGATTGGAACAAGGAACAGCAGTCGGAGAGCAAATGAACTACAACGCTGAGGTGACTTTTTGAACAAATGATGTCACAGGGAGCAGGTGGCAATAGGTTGCATATGTCATGGGATCTGCTTTGACCAAACCAGCTGAGCTGCTGCTGAGCTGCTATAGGTAATGATATTGGGCTCAATGACTGTGACATCAGCTTCCCGTAGAAATTGAAGAGCGCACAGCCAGTTCCCTTGCTTGTGCAAGGAGCTCACCACGGAGTTGATCGTAATGGCCTGTGCTTCCTGAAGCAATAAAAACAAAAACATTGAGATGAACAGAAAAGCAAACATCTCGCAATCAAGTTAGGCATGCCTTTCTCTGTATGTTCAATCTGCAGGTGCAATGCCATGCAATGCCTTCTGATTCATCTGATTCCTGGTCCAAACTGAATGACACCTGGGAAAAACACATGCTACTGTTGATATGTCTTGATAAGCTTCTTGTCTGTCCAATTGAAGAGCTCTGAAAAGCCAAACGGCCGCCTGCCACCGGTTACCCTTCTGACAGGCACTGATGCTGGAGCTGTATGAAACCACATCTGCCTGCATTCGTCTGATCACAAGGACGCTCATGAGCGAAAGTGCAAGTTGCCATTGGGAAGCCTTTTCACAGGCACTGATGCTTGCATTGAATGTGATGACGTTGGTCTGAACTCTGGCGGATTCTGTCTGGCACAGAAGAGCTAACGCTGTTTGCCAATCCGCAGATTTCTCGCATGCACTGATGGCAGCATTATACATGACTACGTCAGGCCGAATAAATGTGTCTTGCGCTTGCTCCAACAAATGCACTGCTTTGAAGCTCTGCCCTGACTTTTCACAGGCACTGATAGCTGCACCATAAGTAATAACGTTAGGTTCCAAGGACTTCGAACACATTGCGCAAAAGAGCTGCATTGCTTGCTCCCATTCACTAGCCTTTTCACACGAACTCAGTGCCGATGTGTACGTGATAATGTTAAGCTGCAGCTTTCGCGCTTCAACTTCAGACAGCAGCATCAGTGAACGCTGCCACTGAGCAGCTTTCTCAAGTGCACTGATGCTTGCATTGAATGTAATCAGGCTTGGCTGCAGCTCGTGACTTTCAACAGCATCAAGAACACAAATTGCCTGCTGCCACGCGCTTGCTCTGCCACATGCACTGGTAGTAGCGTTGAAGGATATCATGTCCAGCTGGATGGTCTGTGTATGAGCTTCATCTAGCAACAGAAGCGCATGCCGCCACTCCATTGCCTTGTCACATGCGTTGATTGCAGAGTTGAAGGCAATGATGTTGGGATGCACCCGCCATCCAGGCATGTCATGCAGCAACATCAATGCTTCCATCCACTTTCCTATGCATGCACATGCACTAATTGCAGCGCCACAGGCTACAATATTCGGTCGCACTGATTTCTGCAAAGAAACATGTAGCACTTGCAACGCCTGTTGCCACTTGCGGGCCTTTTCGCAAACATTGATCGCCGCACTGTAAGCAACAACATCAGCTTGCAAAAGCGCCATTTCTAGGCCATACAGCAAGGCGATGCCTCTCTCCCATTCAGCTGACTTGCTGCAGGCGTTGATCGCAATGGTGTATGCGACGATGCTACAGGGCAAAGTGTCTGTAATGGCCATGGCATCGCTAGAGGGTCAGTTCCAACTCTAGACTTGCAATGGGCCTTAAATACACCGAAAACAAACTACAGTCTATAGTAACTATGTGTGGTACTAGATGCTACGAGTGGTAAAACGGCATCGACAGCGCGACTATGCCTCTGCTAGAAAAAGAAAGCCCTTTCACGGCACGTTGGTGCTGTCTTTATCAAGTGAAATAGGCGCCACACAGAACCACTGGTCCAGGTCCCGTAACCTAGTGAATCTGATGTAATTAGTCCAGGTATGTGCTGGGTCCGGGGTTCCCATCGGCGGATCTACCGTCTCCGTCTGTGTCGGTTGTGACCACACCGCGCAAACGGTCGAGACCGTAGCACCCACCCAACGGTGGAAAGAGGAAAAACACCGCACAAAACCGAAGAATCTGTAGAAACAAATCTGGAGATTATACATGGTTTACACATTATCCAGTATATACAGTATCTATTACCACACCCAGTCGCTCTAAGAAACCAGTGGTAAGACTACTCACAACAATCCCTTACAGCAATCTCAAATCCTGGGATAGTACTGCAGGGCGCATTCAAGAACAGCTCCAAAACAAGTCCGTTATGTAATTCAGTGATGGAGTTCTTTTTGATGCTGCTCATATGAAATGCATTCAATCCTAGCGGTTTTCTAGCGGATTTGCCAGCGCTGCCTTGCAGAATTACTGATTTTAGCTTTTAGCTGCGTACTGCCTCTTAAACAAAAGCAAAAACGATACTGCACTCCGATGTTATTTATCAACTATATAGCTAAACTAAAGTGGCTGCACACTAATTATGGCGACTGGTCATGTGTTGTCGCCAAACAATGCCAAACACTGATAAAGCTTGGAACGACAGCAAGAAGCTACTAGGTGGAGGCGGAGGCCAATTAGGGCGGAGGCCATCGTTACTAGGCTGGAGGCCATTACTACTATTAACATCTATTAACAAGAAGCTACTTGGAACAAGAAGCCACTAGGGGCTCCTGGCCTTACTACTAGGAGCAAGGACGCTACGAACGGGGCTCCTGGCATCACTAACCAGAAGCTACGTTCGTAGCCAAGGCTTCTCGTCTCCACTGGCCTCCGACCCTGCCGAACCTTCCGACCCGCGGCGCTGGTGCCAACCGACCCCGTCGGTGTTCGGCCGCAGCCTTTCTCCCGACGCGAGGACTGCTCGGATTGGCAAGCCTGAGATGGGCGGGTCGAAACGGACCCAGGGAACATGACCGACTTGCACCAGGGATCTTGTCCTATAGGGTTGTTTGGTAGGGCTAGGTCTTGCCCCACGACAATGAACTCATTTCAAAGGCGTCCCGCACCCTCTGAGTGGCCAAAAGCTGGCTGTGTTGCCCAAACTTAAAACCTGCCCGAAGGTGTAAGCTCCAACAGAAAGATTTAAACAAACAGGGTTAACATGGGGTTACTGAGTCACAGTTAATTGATTTCGCCAACCGACTTCAACTCCTTCCGGCGCATTATTTGTGAGCACCCCGCACCGAAGAAACCACATCACCGCAAAACATCGTGACCTTTGGCCCAGGGAGGACGGAAAGGATCGTGGTTTGCAGAAACCTCCCAGTTTGCATATTTTGCCGTTTGCATCCATTTGCCACTGAACAAAATCGAGGTGCCACACCGGCGGTGACGCCACACGTCAAGTCCTGTTTGACAACCCAGCATGCTTTTCTTTTAGGTATCGGTGTCCATCTAGAGCTACTGTTCAAAGGATCTCTGTCTGTGCTACGATGTGCTACAGTTAAAACCTCATCCTGTCTATCAAGCAGTCTATCAATCACCTGAAAGGCATATTCAGCTTCGCTGAGAACACCTGTGCCTGCAAAAATAGATTGATGATTGATGTCAATAAATGCACTGGTCAAGGTGCTTTTTGGCACGCTCCGATGACGGAGTTGAAAGCAATGACATGTTGAAGTTGCTCGCCACAATGCAAAAGCTCCAAAGCTTCTTGCCAACGTCCAGCCTTCTCACAAATGCTGCTTGAAGAAGTGTAGGTGAAGGAATTTGGCGACATCTGCAAGGTCCAACAGTGCCTGATGCCAGGACGAGGACAAGCGAAGGTTCCCGAACAAACAAACATGGAACACTGAGACTGTCTGTCAAACATTCTGTATCCTTAAATGCGCATGCAGCCACATATACATATTTCTGGGTCAGTGTGGGTCAGTATTTGTTTGCGCGAGTCGTGCCAAGAAATGCAGGACGCCGCTGTCACCTAAACAAAACGTAATTGCACGAAAATGCACTCGCCCTGAAGAGTATCTGACAGGTGGACAACAAAACACATATATACCTACTGGTGAGTTAGGAGTTGTGCAGCACAAGGCCTATATAACTCATGAACTGCCAACTGTTCCATGATGAGACAGGACAAATGAATACAAGCATGAAAAGGCCACAGCCATACAATGGCAGCACCATGTGGTCAGCATTTATGTGCAAAAGCTACACTAACTGCTTCCTGCCCGAGTATGCCCGAGTGGCACCTGTTTAGATACAATGCATCTGACCAGTTTGAGGTCTCCAGGGTCGCAATTGTCGCGGTCACCGTGATGACGTTTGGACGCAAGCGACACACTGGAAAAAAGGACACGAGCATCAGGGCACGCGTCCACGAGCGATCACAGGCGCTGACGGCGGCGTTGTGGGTCATTTCCTGCCTTGGAACATGCGCAGTACCAGCTGCAGCCAACAAAACACAAGCTAACTGCCATTCGCTACCCTTCTGACAGGCACTGATGCTGGAGCTGTATGAAACCACATCTGCCTGCATTCGTCTGATCACAAGGACGCTCATGAGCGAAAGTGCAAGTTGCCATTGGGAAGCCTTTTCACAGGCACTGATGCTTGCATTGAATGTGATGACGTTGGTCTGAACTCTGGCGGATTCTGTCCGGCACAGAAGAGCTAATGCTGCTTGCCAATCCGCAGATTTCTCGCATGCACTGATGGCAGCATTATACATGACTACGTCAGGCCGAATAAATGTGTCTTGCGCTTGCTCCAACAAATGCACTGCTTTGAAGCTCTGCCCTGACTTTTCACAGGCACTGATAGCTGCACCATAAGTAATAACGTTAGGTTCCAAGGACTTCGAACACATTGCGCAAAAGAGCTGCATTGCTTGCTCCCATTCACTAGCCTTTTCACACGAACTCAGTGCCGATGTGTACGTGATAATGTTAAGCTGCAGCTTTCGCGCTTCAACTTCAGACAACAGCATCAGTGAACGCTGCCACTGAGCAGCTTTCTCAAATGCACTGATGCTTGCATTGAATGTAATCAGGCTTGGCTGCAGCTCGTGACTTTCAACAGCATCAAGAACACAAATTGCCTGCTGCCACGCGCTTGCTCTGCCACATGCACTGGTAGTAGCGTTGAAGGACATCATGTCCAGCTGGATGGTCTGTGTATGAGCTTCATCTAGCAACAGAAGCGCATGCCGCCACTCCATTGCCTTGTCACATGCGTTGATTGCAGAGTTGAAGGCAATGATGTTGGGTTGCACCCGCCATCCAGGCATGTCATGCAGCAACATCAATGCTTCGATCCACTTTCCTGTGCATGCACATGCACTAATTGCAGCGCCACAGGCTACAATATTCGGTCGCACTGATTTCTGCAAAGAAACACGTAGCACTTGCAACGCCTGTTGCCACTTGCGGGCCTTTTCGCACACATTGATCGCTGCACTGTAAGCAACAACATCAGCTTGCAAAAGCGCCATTTCCAGGCCACAAAGCAAGGCAATGCCCCTTTCCCATTCAGCTGACTTGCTACATGCGCTGATTGCGATACTGTATGCAACAACACTGCCCAATTCTTCTTCCATGGTGCAACAATGCTGCACTATGCCGCAGGCGCTTGAACGGCGGCATTGGGCTCGGGCCACCAGCGGCATAGGCGAACGGAAGTATGACATCTGCACCCCTTAGAGCAACATCAACCGCAAATAGGACCGTGGACTGCCGTGGGCCCCTGACCTTTTTCATTGCAAACAACATACATCAATATCAACTGGGGGCTCCAGAGTTTGGAAAGTGGTCATTCAGAGTGGCTGCTTGGAACTGCGATTTCAGTGGTACGGTTGAAGGACGAACTCCTGCACCGCAGCCTCACATCATTCATCCACACCGAGTCCACACCCGTGTCGTGCAGGTAGGTGGTGCAGGATCGTCATGAGACACAATGAGAACCTTGTCATTCGTTTTGTAGTGCCGGATCCAATTTTAAAAAAGGGAGCCCGGGGATTGGATGTGTCATCTTCACAAAAGCGGGTGGGATTTCCTCTGCCAACAGTAGGTCATTATTGATCGTAAAACATTCACATCGAGCGGAATTTGTGCACGATTTGCACACATTTGCAAGAATATGTGTATACAGTTGCAGGCATTCCAATTCCAATGTAATGCTACGTTATATACTTTGCACCCTGTCATGTGCACGAATCGCCGAACTTGTGTGATGGCCGTGCCAAATCGGTTGCCAAATCATTTTGACGCAACTGCAGCTCTAGTCTTGTTCGGCCAGACTTCAACCTCAGGGCAGCAAGCATTTAGTCTGAAGCCTCCTGTTTCATTGGTTTTGCACGAACGAACCGCTCCGCGTTCCTGACCCCATCTTTTCGGGGGAGGCCGAAAAGGGGACCGGAATAAAGCCCAATAAACTCTGAAATTGTATAATTCCAATAAATATGTCATTCACATTGCAGAATTATTTGAAAGACACGGCCAGGGCAAATCGACACAGCCGGATAGGGGGTGGCTTCAGAAATTAAAGTATTCCAAGAGTTATTTTGAAATTGCGGGTACGTAGTACCTAAACCACTACCTTGGAAATTGTTCTAACCAACATATTCCAGTAGGCGGCATGACCCCACCCCCTATTCTTTTCATATAGAAACGCAAACAGGCAATCAGGAGATTCAGTCTTGTTGAGGCTATCACATGCATGGCAGAGTTGACCCAGGAAT